CCATCGTCAAGCCGCGGGCGGGCGCCAGCGACAACGCGCCAGAAGAGGAGAGGGCCAAAGTTCGTATTATCATGGACCTTTCCCGGAGCAGCTTGAACACCTCCTTGCCCGACCTCCCAGTGAACTACGGGACGGTTGATCTGGCGATATTGCGCATGTCCCCGCGGAGCTTTTTGTGCGTTGTGGATTTAGCGGATGCGTTCTGCAACTGGCGCGTCTTGCCTTCCGATGCGTGGTGGCTGGGTTTCTGGTCCCCGGGGCGACAGCAGTGCGGCATGTACACATTCCTGCCGTTCGGCCTAAAAACAGCAGCTTCCATCAACGATTCCAGTTTGAAGGAGTTATTACGGCTGTTGCAGCTGCGCGAGAACGCCGTGCTTACAGATTTCGTAGACGACAATCTGGGCGCACAATCATCCGAGGAGGACGCGCGGCTGGAGCTGGAGCGCGTCGTCCGGTTCTTCCTGAAGATTGGCGTCCCGATCTCTGCAAAAGAAGGCGGCATCCAGCCGCCCTCTCAAGTCCAGACGTGGGTAGGATGGGTGTTCGACACTCTGAACAACACGCTGTCTGTTGAGCGTACAAAGTGCGACAAGTGCCAAGCCCTCATTCTCGCCGCCGCCCTGCAGGCAGACTCAGACGGAACCTTGCTGGCGCGAGACCTCGCAGCCACCGCCGGTCTGGCCAACCATATTGCGGAGGCGCTCCTGCAAGGCAGGCGGCGACTGTATCATGTCTGGGCGTCGCTGAACGCAGCAAACGTGCACGCGCTGTGGGCTCGCCGCCCAGCGGCGAACCCCGTTGTCCACTTGAGCCCCGACGCGCGCGAAGCTTTGAGGTGGTGGCACCGCGCTCTGGACCGCACCCCGGAGCGACCGCTGCACGGTGAAGCTGGGCAGCTTTCGCTTTGGGGGCCGAAATCCCCCGAGTTCCAAGATTGGCGTCGCTTGGCGGCTGCCGGCTGCCTGCGCGTCATAGAAACTGACGCCAGCAAGCTGCACGGATGGTCATATAATTTGTGCAGCGCTGGCGTGGTCAGGTCCGGCGTTTGGCCGGCAGGTTTCGCACATCTCGCAGACAACGCAGACGCGATACATTCAAGAGTTGTGGATCGCGGTCCAGGCCGTTCAGGCAGATTGCGCGGATGGCGCGTCGTGTTTCGAATTGATAACACGGCCGCCATCCATTGCGTGAACTTCCGCTCCGGTCGCATACCGCACTTCGTGCAGTTGGCCGAGGAATTCGAGCATGCAGAACGCTCGGCCGGGTGCTGGTGTTTGGCCGTGCACTTGGCGGGCGCAGCGAATGTCATCTCGGATTCCGGTTCCCGAGATTCAGCATTTGCGTCTCGATGGAATGCAGACCCTTTCCGCGAGGCTGTGCTGAAAGCGTCGGTGATGGACCGCATCACCAACGAATTCGGCCCATTTGATTGCGATCTTTTCGCGGACCGGCTGGGGGTCACCGCGAAAGCGCCGCTCTGGTTTCACCCCGAGAACACCGCGTTTGAGGCGCACGTGTTAGGAAACAAGGTCTGGGCACACCCGCCCCGCGCCTTGGCAGGGCATGCCATTTCGTTCCTGTCCAAGGCACTTGCCGAAGGCAAGTGCCGCGTTGTTTTTTTGTTGTGCCAGAGGACACGGGAGCACCTTGGTTCCGATCCTGGCAGCTTAACAAGTGGCGTAGGCTTGCTCGCTGGCAATCTGGATCAGATATGTTCCGCGCGCCGCGTCCGGACGGCGGTTGGGTCAGAGCCCCAGCCACGGATCTGCCCATCCTGCTCTTGGGCCGTTCGGGAAAACATTCCAACGTGTACTCGTCCGTCCGTTTGCATTATCCGTTGCTTCTCGTCCTCTGTCCATTTCGCGGTCTCTTCGCTCAGTCCGACTGCGCGGGTCATGTCGATCCCGTCTTCGACGCAGCCGCGCAGGCTCAAGCTAAGGTCGCAGTCAGCGCACTGCACTTCTGAGTCGAGTCATCCTCCCTCTTCTGCCGCAACTGCCCCGCTGCGCCCCGGCCATGGCTGCGCCAGTCGAGCCAAGCGCCTTCGGCGAGGCGGAGGCGACGGAGTGGTTCAAAACAGCCATTCGGCAGGGCGGTGCCTTGGAAGCAGCGTTCGCCGAGGCAGTAAAATCTGTCTTGCAAGCGGACGTGGCCTCGGACGTCGGGGAGATTCCCACGGCGATCAAGGCAACGGCGGAGACGTTCGAGACGCAGAACGGGCACACCGACACGGCGATCGCTTCCCTCGAGCAGCGCGTCATAGCCTGCGAGGAGTTCGTAGCCAAGGCTAGCAAGCAAGAGGCTGACCTGGACGCGGCTTTTTCGTGGCCCGAGGTCGAGCGGTCCACAGACGCGCAGGAGTGGTTGGCCGGGTGGAACCGTCTGTTCGTGGACAAAGACTGGCTGGCCAACGTCTCTGCGCAGATGGCAGACCCAGCAATGGCCAACGCCGTATCCGCGTGCATGGCCAACCCGAACAACCCGGATGCGCAGAAGATCATAGACGCGATCGGTCTGCGCAACGCCCCCAAGACCACCTTGAGGGAGCTGTGCCTGTCGTCGTTCGGCGGCAGTCCAGACCGCTTTCGTGCGTTCATGTCGGACAAGGCGGCGGCCCGGGACGACAAGGTTGTCGCCGCCATCGCCAGGAAGGCGTTGGGCTTTTTCCTCCTGCTCGAGAACCAGCACGTGAACGCAGCCACGGCCAAGCCGACCTCGGCCGCCAAGTTGACCGCCCAGAGGAACGACATTATGCCTCTCTTGTTCGTTACCCTCAAAGCCATGCGCCGCAAGGCCAAGAAGGCGTCGGCACGGAACAGCCTGGAGCACATCATGCTGTGCTCCGAGTTCAGCTTGGACTGGTCTCTGGGCCTCTCGCGCCTCGCCGTCGCTCCCTTCGCGATGGCTCCGCCCGGCCCCGCCGTCACGGCAGTCGTGACTTCCGGCTCCCCCGAGGGCGCGCCGGGCGCGGTGGGTGGGCCCGCTTACAAGCGCCTGCGTGCAGACCCAGCCCAGGGCGGCGGCGGGGCGCCGGCAGGGGCTCCCGCAGCAACACCAGAACCAGCCGAACTCCTTCGGCCAGAACACCGGCAAGGGCGGCAAACCCCAGGCGCCGGGCACCGGCAAAGGCGGGAACAACAACCACAAGAAGGCCAACGTGACGGCGATGTTGTCGGAGCTCGGGAACATGGCGGGCAGGCAGCAGCCGGCCGCCGTGCAGGCTTTCGTCGACGCCAAGCACCAGGGCTCGCCGGACGACAAGGAGGCGATCAGGTCCATCATGGGCACCTATTGCCGCCACTGTTTGCTCGGGAGCCGGAGGCTCGTCCAGCACAGCCGGGCCCAGTGCAGGCAAGAGGGCGGCGTGCCGGCCACTCCGTGCAACCGCTGCGCACAGAAGGGGATCGTGGCATTCCACTGGCAGGAGGAATGCAGAAGCTAATGCGCCTGCCGCGCGCGAGCGCGCAGCCCTCCGGCAAACCGAGCGGCATGCCTCGCCCCTTCTCTGACTATCTCCCCTGTCCCATCTCCCGCTCGCTTGGCTGGCCGGGTAGCCTGGTGAGCCCACAGCCGTGCCGGTGACAGCTGCAGAGAGGCCTTTCGCGTGGCATCTTGTATGTATAATCCGCGAGCCGGCTTCCCTGCCCCATGCGGGCGAACATGCCCCGTGCTATTCGTGCACGCTCGTTCAGATACAGCCTGCGCGCTTGGGCCGGTTGCAGACGAACCACTTCGGCCCTGGCAGGCGGACCGCGAGGAAAAAACAACATCGCTTGGGCGGGGGAAAGTTTCCAGGCCCCCCCTCTGGTCAGACGTCGTCGTCTTTGCGGGGGAGGGCCCAGACCCCGTTCTTGCCAGTCACGCGCTTGCCTATAACACCCGCAGGCCTACGGCAAACCCCGCCAGGTGCCAGCGCTGTGGCATTGTTTGTTTGTTCGTCGGAACCCTGCCTGACACGCAGCAGAGATGATCGCGCGCCCGCGCGCGCCGAGTGCGCCGCCGCAGATTTCCGATGCAAGGTAACGAGAAGCCTTTGCCGTGGGACTCCCGTGGGCCACCCTTTTGGCCAAATTTCACGGCGACTCTCTCCCTCCGTCTCCCTCTCTCTCTCTCTCTCTCTCTCTCTCTCTCTCTCTCGCTGTCTGCTCATATCACGCATACGCATGCACGCATATATGTATAAGAGAGGGAGAGATAACGTGAGGGGGGGGAGCGAGAGAGATACCGGGAGCGTGGTGGTCTACGAGACACGGGCGGACAATCGGCCTTGTGGACAGGCTTGCACAGGTGCCCATACCACGCGGCCCCGGCGGGGCTGTGGTGCCAGGAAGGAGGAGGCGGGCCCACCAGGGCTCCACTCAAAAACTATCACTAATTTTACGGATCTCCAGAAAACGCTTTGGACATGGCCGGCGGGCCCGCTCGTGATCCGGGCCGGGATCCCAGGTAGCCAGCAGTTGTGGTGGAATCCGACAGGTAATCAGGCCCGTGTGGGTCCGCTCCTCGACGCTTCCGGCGGCCGACTCCAGGCTAGGTCTCCAGAAAACGTTCTGGGCGAAGTCGGTGGCGGGTCCGCTCCAGGGGACACTCCCCGTCGGCACCGATGCCCCCGGAAAGCGCTCGCGAAGCACAGCGAGAGCGCGGCTTCCTTTAGGGGCGCAGGCGACGCAGCGCCGTCTTCCAGCCCAGGGCCCTCTTCCCACCTCCGCCTTTTTCTCCCGCCCTTGGCCTCCTTCCCTCCCCCCGCCCCCCTCGCCCCTGCAGCCGCCCCGGCTCAAGACCTTGACATGCACCTGTTGAACGCACCACTGTCTGGCCAGCCAAACTCTCCGGCGCCATGGGGCGTTGAGTTGCTCTCAGCACCGTTGCCTGATAGTCGGCGGGCCGTCCGGCCTCGACCCAGGGCCTTGGATGCGCCTGCCTTGCTGGCCCGCCCCGCGACCAGAGGGCCGCGGGCACTTGTCGGCGCCCCTGCCGCGGGCGACGTGGCCCTCCAGTTCGCGCCGGTTCGGGGCGACGTTTTGCAAACATCCACGCAGACAGGGGCATTGTCCGCACGGGCCGCGCTCACGGACACCGCGCAAGACATCGTGCGAGCCGGGTGGGGGCAAAGCACGATCCGGACGTACAGCCGAGCGTTGTCCGTGCACGTTCACGGCTTCGAACAGCAGGTCGATTCCAACATCCTCCCGTTGGATTCCCTGGATAAGCTCACGCCCCTGTTCGCAAGCATGGACGGCATGGCATGGCAAACCATGCGCCTCAACAAAGCAGCCGTCAGAGCGTGGCACCAGAGCAACAACTACAGCCAGGTCTTCGACGATTGCTGGGACGATCGGGCTTTGCATTTTTGGCGAGGCCTGAAAAAGAGAGCATCCCACGCATCGCACCAAAAACGTGCGATTAGTGTTGAAGAGTGGGCGCTGTTTTGCACGGCCAGGGCGGCAACAGGCACGCCGGCTGGGCGGGGGGATGCAGCTTTCGCGTCGTTTTGTTTTTTCGGCTTGCGCCGCGTTTCGGAGGCGATCAACCTCCGCGTTCAGGACGTGCATTTTAAAGCCTCGTGCGCGTGTTGTTTCATCAGGAAACAGAAGAACGACCCGTGTGGCAAAGGCCAATGGTGTTTCATTCCGTTCAAGGTTATTGCTGGGCTATCCCCGGCGAAATTCCTGCAAGATTGGATGGATTGGAAAGCCGCGACGGCAGCTCACGTGCCTTCCCTATTCTGCACCACGACAGGTTCCCAACTCCAGCCTGTTAGCGCGGATGCGTGGCGCAAGGCGGTTTCGTCACACTTTAGGGACCCAGCCGCTAGCACGCATTCGTTTCGTAGAGGCGGAACAGAATGGTTCACGCACGTAGCAAAGATCCCCCCGCACGTGGTCCAACGGCAAGGTGGGTGGAATTCGGAGGACGTCATGCGTCATACGTACGCCGACACATCCCCAGATACGCTAATGCAGCGTTTCGTCGATAGCCTAGCAGCCTCTTCTGCAGAGCAGACGACGGACCGGCCGACCAAGCGCTTGCGAGAGAAGACGGCATCCGTGCGCTCGCTCGGAGGCCCGCAAGGAAAGAAGACCGCCGGCTCCCAACACACACCGCTTCGCGGAACACCGCCTCAAGGGGGCCTGCTTCGAGGGGTGATCACCAGGTCGTCTCCTGGCGGCTCCTTCCCTGGTGGGCTGGGGGTACATTCGCCCCCTTGATGCTGGGGAAAAGCATCGACAACGTCGTGAGATTGATCCTATTAGGAGGAAGGCGAAGCTTTTCGGATAATGGGCGATCTAGAGACGCAGATGCTTCGGACATCAGGGACACGATCAGCATTGCCAGTGCCTACTGTGCTGGCAATGGTCCGCAGGCGGCCTTACCCGGCTTCGTCGGCGCCTACTGTGCCGCTGGGCTAAGGCTCGGGGGGTCACGTCCCCGCGGGGCCGAGTGCCTGCCGTCCGTTGGCAGGGCGCCGCACAGGGCGCATTGCGTCGCAGGGCGTCTCACATGGCGCCCTGCTTCGCACTTTCCTGCCGTCTCGTGGCAGGACGCCTCACAGGGCGCAGGCCGCGTCGCAGAACGCGCAATCGCCCTCCCGCCCCCCCTGCTTCGCGCCGCGACGCGCGCGTAGATGCGGCGAGGGATTCACATACGGCCCGTGCGCGGCCGTTTCTGCCTCAGCTCCCGCTTCCCGAGGCGACGGCCAGCACGGAAGCTTCGGGGGGTGATCACCAGGTCGTCTCCTGGCGGCTCCTTCCCTGGTGGGCTGGGGGTACATTCGCCCCCTTGATGCTGGGGAAAAGCATCGACAACGTCGTGAGATCCTTGAGGACTCCTGGAGAATCCTTCAGGAAACGACCAGAATCCTTCAGGAATCCTTCCTGAAACCGCAAGAACCTTCAAGAACGTTCAACAATCCTTCAGGACCCTGAGGAATCCTTCTGGAATCCTTCAGGAACCCTTCAGGAAACCACAAGAATCTTCAAGAACTTTCAAGAGCCCCGCAGGAGTCCTCAAGAATCCTTCAGGAATCCTCCAGGGATGCTTCGGGGATACCTCAGGAGTTCTCAGGATCCCCCGAGAATCCTGAAAGAATCCTACAGGAATCCTTCAGGAATCCTGCAGGAATCCCCCAGGAATCCCTTTTAGGAATTCTCGAGGATTCTTTGGGAATCCTCGAGAATCCTTCAATATTGTTTTTGGACTCCGCAAGGATATTCAAGAACCCTAGAACCCCGCAGGGAGGGATCCTCAAGAATCCTTCAGGAAACTGCATGATCCTTCAAGCCCAGGGAAGCAGAAGCACGCCTTCCTAGTTACAATCTGGGGTTCGCCCTGTAGAATCACAAGAAGGAGTTCTACACGTTGCGATCTGTCCGTCTCCAGTGGTTCTAATCGGCCCGAAGTGGTTCTTGATATGTCCGAAGTGATTGCGGTCGGTCCTATTCCCCCCTCTTTCGGGGCGGGGTTCGAACTGGGAGGGGACCCCCGCCTGAGTTGCAG